AAACCTTTAGGAAAAAAATAAAAATTCTAGCTCAGTGGAGAGTCACTTTATAAATGAATACATAAATATCCTGACAATTTATAAATCTTTCTGCTATGGTTACTATTTAATTTAGTAAAGCAAAATAAATTTTCTATTTTTTGAGGATTTTAACCCACATTTTATTCTTGTTATCTTCATACCTACACTACATATATACACATATATGTGTATATATGCGGGGGTTACATTCCAAGACCGCCTGCGATAGGAGAAAAAAAAAAACACAAGTAGAGACGTGATACTTATCGATTATATTATTTACGTATATATGTGTATATTATTTTATCACAAAGATAATAAAAATATTGGAAATCAAAAAAAAATTTATATACCACCCACATATACATAAACCCACAATACAGCTAAAAATCAGCAATACATTAGGTAAGAATACATTTAAAATATTAAAAACCCATGATGCACTGAGGTCGTGACAGCAGAGCCGCGATGCAGCGATGGACGACTGATAGATAGATATTTCTTCTTGAAATTACTAGAAAATATTCACATTAGTATTTTCAGAAATGATTGGCCTGATGTCATGCTACCACTTGTTATTATACTGCTATTATACTTATATGATTATTTTATGAGTTTTTACTTTTGTGGAGGGGGGGGGGTTTCTGGGTATTTTTAACCCAATGTTTCCACAGTATTATAGTGCTGCATAATACCAACCAGTCAGTTGTATTTCTGGTTGTCTCCACTGCAGTGGACACTAAGTTAACCTTTTGATTTGACAGGTACAGGAGGACAGCAGACCTGTGAATGTTCTGAATAATAGCTGATCTATGACGATTCATACAAATGTCTTTTTCCAGCAGTTCAGCTTCTGAAGTGGAACATCAGCGTTGTCTTCATCTGACTCTCCTGACTGTGATACTTTGTTTAAACTCTTGTGTTAGTACTGTGTAATCCGTTAACCAACCCCCCTCCCCTCCCGTCTCCCCCTCTCCCCCACCCACCTC